CTCATATTACGAACGGAGTGAATGAATAGTCACAAAACGCCAATAAAACATCATAGTTTTAATAATACAATAAGCTTACTTTAAGCGCCTCATGGTACGAAAAGTCAATATAAGGTTAAAGTAATATTATTTTAAGAGGTTGTGGTAGGCCCCCTGGCGCACGGCTTGTTCGTCCGGTCACTTGATATTATAAAAATTAAATGTGTGAGGTAAAAAAAGCGATGCATCAAATAAATGGAAGAGATAGTCGCATGCCGCATATAAAACTAGTTTATCATTGATTCGGCCGCCGTTTACTCTGAATGAAGGCCGTAACCATGCATTTGTAATTTTAATTGTAATGAATATTATGATGGTTTTACTACCATTGTTTACGAAATTACTCCATTAATGTGTTATAAATATTAATACAAACATCGAACACAACGACCAATTCCTTCGATCGGACTGAACAATCCTATCAGATTGAAGAAATTTTTGTTTTGTGTTCGATCTTTGTATTAATAATTATGCATTTGTAATGTTTCTATCATGTCATATTTCTATTTAATACTGCAAGTTTTTAATGTACTTTTTTTTATTTCAATAAAATTAGAATGTCACATCTAAAAAAGCATTTGCTCTACTTTTAAAATATAATCTTTCTATTTGTCATCCGACAGTGTGACTGTGATGTTTACAAATTAAGGCGTGACACGAATTGCGCATTACACTCAATCGCATGCCCTCAAACTAGGGCATTCCCTGTATTGAGTGCTAGAGTTTCAAAACTAACTCGGTGGTCACGACCCAAAACAACCAGACTGAAGCAATTTAGACAAGTTTGGTTTCCGATACTACATGTTAAAACAACATCTTTTTAGGAAGAAATGTTGCAAGTTTTTTATTGCGTTCCTTTTTGTTTTACTTGTTTCATGACACGTAAATATTTGTTTTTGATATGTGTGCTGTTTTTGGGACAAAACAATGTTTTTACTTGCTCTGTTTCTCTTTTAAAAACCCCAAATATGTTGTAAACATCGCACAGTATAGTTATAAACATGTTTTCATATTTCGCGCTCTTGGTATAATAAGGCCACATCTGCAAAGTGATAACTTTCAGGAGATTGGTTTATAGTACCTACGTTGTGTATTAAAGACGGTAAATAAAAAAATACTAACGAGGTTAAAACATTTAATAAATAGACTTTTGTACTTTTTTACCGTCAGTGATACATGCAATGTTTCTCATCACATTTGCGAGGAAATAAAGATAATGTTTATTTCTTGTATGATTTTGCAAATGCGGGTATTTTGTTTTTTTTGCTGAATTTTTATACAGAAAATAATTCTAATCATATAAGAAATTCTTAATAGTAAGTATTTAAACAGTATGTGTCTGAATTGCAATTAAATTTATGTATAGATAACATATTAAGCAAATGTTTAAATTTTAAATTTAAGTAACCTCCTTGCTGGAACTTGAACCTGACCTATGTAAGGAAGTATGTCGTGCTATAAATAAAAAAAAACTCCTTACCTATCATATCATCCTACCTGCAATGAAAAGAAAAAAGGCCCGAGGATTTTATTTGGGGCATTACAGTCTAGTTAGCCATCGTGCAATCATACTATTTACGAGCAAGTGTGATGAAAAAGATTTTATTAACAAAACTAGTCTATAAATTTTTGAAGCTCAAAGGAGTGTTATAAAAATTCACGTAAATAATAAATAAATATTAGACAACATCACATACATTGCTCTGATTGCAAAGTAATTATAGCACTTGTTGTAGCTGCTTTGAGTTCGTCCATGGAAGTACAGCCACGTTACCTATTTCTGCCGCCCAGCATAAGCATTACTGCGTTCCTGTTTTCGAGGGTAAGGGTGAGGCACAAGGGACTCAGGATGACGGGGGCAGTGGCAGTGCCACTCAGACCTTTACGATATAAAGCACTGCAACTGTTATGGATAGGCGTGTCGCTTACCACCAGGCGCACGACTTGGTCGTCCCGTCACTTAGTACTCTGAAAAAAATTTGTGTCATGGAAATCCGAAATAACGACGGCATCACATACATCCAGACCCGAGACTATAGAAAAATTTGACTTTCAACATTGGTGCGGCCGGGAATCGTATCCTGGACCTCAGAGACGGCGACATCATGGAAACCGGTACGAAAGCCGCTCAACCCCGGAGGTCGTCAAATACACATAATTTCTTACATTTAGTTCCTACTATTTTCAATACAAGCACCTTATAAGCACGTTACACGTACCAATCACGCACACACTCTTAGCCCTGTATTGGGGAAACCCTGTATTGCGGGTCTCATGGACACATACATAGACAACCACAAAGGACACTCAAACTCACGAGAAAAATAAATGTAGGCCATACAAATGTTTCTCCCAGCTTGGGAATCGAACCCGGGATATTTGCGTGGCAGATCAACATGCGTTCGGCCACAGAGGCAGTTAACGATCAAACGTGGCGTTTCTTTTATCAAGTGTACGATTTCTTAGTTATGCACATTTGTGAATGTTTAGAAGCAATGTCCTCTGGTTAACTAATAGTGAAGGAAAATAACGTGTTAAAACCTACACTTCAAAGAAGGTTCACAATCTCTGGAAATCGTGTAATGTCGTAAACTCGTATTACGCCAGCGCAGCCGACTATAATCCTACACCCTCTCCTTAGAGCATTGAGAAAGCCATTTTTATTTTATAGGTAAGCAAATTGCACTGAGAAGTATAATGAGTTGATAGTGTATATATCTATAGTCTCCCGTGATAAAAAAATTAATCGGGAAACTCGAGATATTCACTATATTTCGGTCGCATACATTTCATTAAATTAATTACTTATTATTTATATATTACTTATTATTATTTATTGGGAATGAAACTATTTCTTCGGATCTAAAGCTTATTTTACATTGCCGCGGAATAGAATGGAATGGAAGCGCAAATTTCGCCTCGCTACGCAAAACGCGCGCGCGTTCGCACCGCGTCTTTACTTCGCGAGGATTCGCCAAGCGTCGCCTAGGGAGCTGCGGAAATTTCCGCGAATACGCGAGCATTCCCAAGCATGTGCGAGAATTCGCCGGAAGACGCACGACTTGTTATTTGGCTCGTATCCAGTTTGTGCGTTACAATATAGACATAAAGTTTATTTTGCTATGTCCAGTTTCGTCACAAAAATTCGATTCCATTCCGTTCCGCCACAATGTAAATTGAGCCTCAATCGTGTAGATTTGTTTTTTCAAACAAACTTTTCAACCTTTTTATAAGTACTGGCTGACTGAGATTTAAAAAAAAATTAAAATAATCATGGTGTTAATTTTTTATTTTTAAACGGTAATGCAGCTTATACGCTTTATTAGACAAGACAAATTGCTTTTTCGATTGCATCTGGGTATAGACAATTAATTTCTCTTCTAACTTGATTGCAATCAAATGATATGGCATAGTCGCCTAATTTAAACGATAGAGTTAATAAGGGCGTTTTTCTTATGGGTACAAAAGACTTTTTTAATTGACTTTAGAATTGCATAATTCACCTCATCGGAAAAAACTGCCAGGCATTTTGTTTAGGAAACTCATATTGCACCATTACATAGCCGTACACAATAATGTTTATTTCATTGCAAATCGTTTGAAAATGTTGTTAATCTAGATTAGTGTATTATATTATGCCATTATTAACCAGTTCTAATGATATTAGGAATCCCTGTCACTGCCACAAAGTATGATTCTAAATATAGGTAGTTTGTTTTTTAATAGAAAACCGTATAAATCACGTATTTAAGTAGAATTTAATCATGATAATGGATGGTTGGTACCCCCGAATGGAAAATAGTGTTAAGTACTACGTCAGTGGTTCGTGTGGATGAGACTTTAGAACGTGACGTTGTTATACGTAGTGTGCAATCCTGCATACGACTTTCAATAAGAATATGGAAAACGAGAGTAGTTTCTTGCCGCCGCTTGCGCCTGCACTCGTATCGTCAGGGTTCTGGCGCGCAGATTAAGTCGAATCGCCGCCGCGAAAGGTTATAATTAAGGACCACAGACTAGTTCGAAATATGTCGATAAAAATTGGACTTTAATACGTGAATTATCTGTTAGTTTAGTTAATACCTAATTTCGTTGCAACGCATGCGCCGATTGGCAAATTCACGATGGCAAGCATTAGCCCCCTTTACACATTCACGCTATCGCGCGTAATCAGGAGCGTATAGGATTGTGCGCGGGAAAGCCTGCACTCGCAATCGTGCACGATTACCTATTTGTAGTTTTTTAAGCTAACTTTCTTTTGCGCGCGACGGTTCGTGTTCGTTTATGTTACAACGAAAGAGCATCCGTAAAAATACAACCTTGGAAAGCACGATTGCGTGCACGACTTACGAGGGCAATCGCGCTGTCTTTCCCTTTTCCTTCCAACATCTTTATACGGGCGCACGATTGCTGTACCACGCGCGAAGGGGTGTCTGTGTAAAGCCCTTTATTATAGTTTATGCCATCGATACGTTAAGATAAAGAATTTGACTTTATTTTCAAAATGGCGTTTTAACAATGTCTTGCGTACGTTCCTTTCATAAAATCAACCCAAGTTTTTTTTAAATTAAAACAATGTTCAATGTTTCGAATCGAAGGGCATTTCACAAAAAACAACATAAATTTTACATAAGTTTTATTAAATACTGAACAACTAAAAACGTCATATAATATCCCTTTTAAATAAGGGCTCGAATGAATTTAAAAGGGATATAATCTTAGAACAATTTAAAGCTACTAATTACAAACCGAAATCTAACTGTGCTGTTATAAACAAAGCATTACTTCAATTTGAAATATGAACAGTAATCATACCTACTTTATACAAATACTTATAATATACAACGACACGAGATATGTAATATACATGTACAATTTAAAAAGAATACCATATTCGTTGATATTATGTTCGTTATTTTAATTCGGTATTTAATTTAATACTTCAAGAAATATATACAGATGCGTATAATCGCTAACTACTGTGCCATGCACAAATATCATGTACCATACACCTTATGTATACATAAAACTTTCTACAAAACTTCAAATGGTGATTAATTAATTTGTACACAGCATAACCATCAAAATCACTCACCTAACACTATGCAGAGAATTTGCAAAAATGACAACATTATATTATACTTTATTATATATAACTTCTACAACTAAGACGAATGATACAAACTTTTCAATTTGAGCAACCCAGCGGCTTCTATAACTTTTTAAGCGTAATAAATAACGCTACATTATTTACAATTTGGCACAAACTAAGTTTCCTTATTGTTTTATACATAGTAATTTCTTAAAAGCTCTTCTAAAATCCATATTGAAAATTGTGTATATCAAAGGATTCAAAGCCGAGTTTATGTAACCGAGCCATGTTATGAAGTTTATGAACTTATTGGATAGACAACAGCTTGCGCAGAACGGGATCACGAGGTATATAACAAAGAATGGGAGCCAGCAAACTACAAAGACGCCCATTATTATTCCTAAAGTCCTCGCCGCTCGCCGCTCGCGAGTAAGAGATATTCTTTGTTTTTCTTCAATAAACTGGTATACAGCGCTCTGTTGACACGGCTTGGGACGATTCTGTGGTTTTACCGTAATCTCTTCCGCAACCTCCACTTCATCTTGTGTTTCTTTGGAGTTACTCTCCGAAGATGTCGCCTTATCAATATTGTCTGCAATATCAGTCACAGAGTTTTCATTGGACAAAATCGGAATAATCAATTTATTTTGAGTCTTGTCATCTTTGCTCCAATAACGCTTCTTTGGCTTTTTCTTTGGTGTTGACTTCTTCGTCGACATCTTTGACTTTTTCCTTTTCTCGTCAGAAACTAGCCGAGTTACTCCTTGGTGCTCGTTGTGATTGGTTTCAGAACTCACTGAATCCTGATCTTGCTGATCGCTCTCTTTTGTCGTATAACGGTTTTGACCACTAGAGATCGTACTGATTTTAGTTGCTTTAGCACGATCTCTGAGTCTTTTCTTTGTTGCCAAGTAAATTTCAAAGTAAACTACAGTCATTATGACTAGCGGAATGTAAAATGACCCCGAAGCAGAAAATACGACAAAGCCTGGTTGGGACGTGAGGCGGCATGGAGTGTCGGGCAGAAATACTTCGGGCCAATCGTTCCAACCGAGAAGCGGTGGAGAACTGATAATAAGGGAGAGGGCCCATACTATTCCAATCATTAGAAGTACTCTCTCGAGTGTCCGCTTTTGTGCGTAATTTATAGGATCAGTAATGGCCCAATATCGATCCAGCGCAATTGCGCACAGATTCAGAATGGATGACGTGCAACACATTATGTCACACGTTAACCACATTTTGCAGACATAAATTCCGAAAACCCATTGGCCTAGAATCGAGTAAGCCACGTTCAGAGGCAAGACCAATATTGCTACGGTTAGGTCGGCTACAGCGAGCGAGACAATAAAGAAATTCTGAACGATTCGTAGTGGTTTGTACGTGAAAACGCTTAGGATTACTAGAATATTTCCTACAATCGTCGATATAATGATAAGGGTCAGGACTATCGCGGTGCAGATGGCCTCCCATTCTGGTACCGCGAGAGTTATTCCTACGCTGCTTGGGTATTTCGGGTCGTCGGCGACAGCGCAGACGTCCTTTTCGTCCCTGACCACATCATAGGTGTAAGAATAATTTGTAAGGGTATCATTATCGTGTGTGAAGGTTTGGCCCATCTTGCATTAGTTATCTTTTGCTACATTTCATGTAGCATTTTTCGCACAAATGATATTTGTAAAGAACTTTATTTCGGAGCATTTAGAGAGCAGACGGCGATAATATTTCTTCGTTTGGGTCGTAAATGTAATTTCTGCAGAATATATCATTTTATACGCCGTTTTTCTGTAACGAAAATAAATATCTCTATGATGTATAATGGAGACACATTGACAGTATCTTGTTGAAGAAATGTTGTTTACATTCTAAATAAATCACCTTTTGGTAATCCATTGTAGGAGCTCCCATTTATACATCATTATCATTTTTTGAAGTGTAGTCGAATCTGTAACAATAAAAAATATTCATTAGAGTCAATGAAAAGAAAAACAAGTGAAAGGAAACTTTGCAAATTCGTACTAGGTACAATTGCGGGATATAATTATTTTTTTATACATTTTATTAAAGAGAATATTGTATCTGTATATAACAACCGCTCTTGAAGGTTTTAATAAAATACAAATTCGAGTGTGATCGTGACAAGGGGGTAGAATACATTGCCTTGGTTTGAATAATGCGACGACGGTTTGTCGCAAATGGCGTTCGCCTGAATAGTTATATATGCGGTAATAGCTTTGGTCAAAAGCAATAACATTTCTTAACACTATTTTTGGTAGTTTGTCAAATAGGATTTTGACTGCCCGTATATTGTCGATCGTGTGATTTGATAGTTTGAATGGTATTTTGAGCCTTTTTTTATGATACACCAAAGCATTTACTTCGTTGTTGTTTAAAGCCTAGGTTCAACAGCAATCTCAGTTTTTAACTATATAATCGTGTATAAGCCAATAACATCTTGCTAGTATCGGTTGTGATCGTTATTCCAAAAAAAAATAAGCAAACAATACCAATATGATAATCGTAATATAAAAGATAGTATAGAAGAGATACTAGCCTAGACGTAAAAATAGTAGATATTATCATATTCCTTTGCAACAGTATAGAAGTATATTGGTTACTATAAGAATAACTCATTACCTTCTATAAGAGGTAGTATTAGTTACAATAAGTGGAACTAGTGTGACTATGGCCTTGTTAAGTGTGTATATATCTGTAGGTGAGAGATAAAGGACCTTAAGTTCATGCTTTGGAATTTAAATGTTGTAACAAACATTGCTTTGGAATGCTAAAAATCACGCAATGGTAAAAGACTTAAGTTCTATCGTGGTTTGTTTTTTATTTAACATATTTTATTTTACCTTAAGATTGATTTTAAATGCTCAATTAAGAGCCTCATTCTCTTGAAAATGCTATGTAGTATAAATTACTATTTGGCACCATGACTTACAATTATATGGACGTCGGGTCCGCGCTAAAAAGTGTCCGAACTTATAGGGCGTTAAAATCGTATACAGAGCGTCATTCACGCTTTAGTCTTCGTTTGTTTATTCTGACAGCGAAGCAAGCAAAATTAGACAGTGCTGCGATGACATTACAATTTGAATTCAACGTTTTAGCTTTTTCATATTCCTTTACATGTCACTACGTTTAAATAGGTTGACTTGGGACATTTTTTTCGTGGTTTTTGTATTAGACCCGTCGTCCATTTATTTGTAAGTCAATGTTTGGCACTCAAGCTCCTATCTCCTACTTCAGCTTGAATGTAATTTTTTCCCGTACTAATACGGTTCATTTTGCTTTAATCGAGGGACGGGGATACTGGCTTTATATCAGAATTATTTTATTTACATACGAAAGAAAATCCATTTGAAAAATGTATATCGTATACTATTATAAATACGTTGATATTCCACCTATTCGCACTAAGCGCTTTGCTTCCTCCTTTCTGATGCGTACGGCAAACGAATGGAATGCTCTACCGTCTCTGTATTCCTCGAAAAGTACAATTTGGGGCTATTCAAGGCTAGAGTGAATAGGCATTTTTTAGGCAAACGCGTCCCATCGTCGGTCACATCGTCGCTTAACATCAGGTGAGATTGTGGCCAAGCGTGTGTCTATTATATATATATAAAAAAAAAAAAAAAAAAAACTAACCGTGTTCTATTTAGTTCAGTTGATATAAATAAATATTTGTAAATGTAAAGTACCAATTGAATACCGCGGTTTTCTTGTACAATTTCGAGGTAAGTATGTGTTTTTTTTTTCCATCGTAAAAATTTTTAGGAATCTTGTTTTCACACCATATACTCGTACTAATCAGTATATTATCGTCAATTTTACTATATATATTTTCTAAACTGATTGATTCGATACTTTCATGATATGCGGAATCAACTAGACCCATTTGAGGTCGTATAGACTTTTAAAGTTCTTCACCTCCCACTTACATATTGAAAATAAATAAAATATATTTTTTAATCTAAATCGTTTTTTTTTTTCGAACAAACAACGTCAAACAGGTCTCACAGCCACGGCTGATTGAGCCATCTCATTGGCTAATACCATTATTAGCTGTCAAACTGTTGTCTAACATTAATGCAAACCACTCTATTCTCAACTATAGTTACAAAAATACTTAATTCCAACTACCCTATTTTTTAATTTAGCTAAAATCATATTTCAATTTACATTACATACCTACGTACGATATGAAAGATACCTTAACAAATATACGCTATTTACCTATATAACTTAAATTATTTCTACAATAAGAATTCGAAAAAAAGTAATATAATCGCAAATGTTTCTTGCAGAAACATATACGTAAGGGAATGTATTTTATAAGAAAACAATTTCACGTGGTGCCTTAGAGTTATTTCCCTGTTTATCCCAAGACAGATAAGAAAATGAATGTACATCTTTTTACCTGCTGGAACACAGTTAGTTGTCGCTGAAACACAGAGAAACCACTTATACTATATATTATACCAACTGTACGTATATTTATTAACCTTAGTTACTATAAAGGATGATTGCACACATAAACTTAAAATGACTATTCTAAGCGCGTTTACGCAGCACATCCGATCGCATCCTATTAGATCCAAATCCGAGACTATACAAATCTAGAGAACTCGTACCCTCTTCCGATGTCTTTTGAATTCGAAAAAATATGAATATCGCATGTACACCTAGAGACAAAATGATCCCTGTGACCCTCATTTCTCGGATTCGGAATTGACAGGACATAGTGTCCAAACATTCCTACAATTTGCTACTCTTACGTCTAGGTATCTGTATATTGAATTCCGAGACGGTCTTGAGTCACACTTGAGACTTATGAAGCTCGTCATCGCAGTGTCACTGAACGCTGTAGTGAACAATTACTAACTTCAGTTATAGCTAACTCTTTTCATAAAATAAGTTTTTAAAAGGTAAAGGTGCTGGTGAATTTATTTTTTTTTACATAAAAATAAGTGTGCATTTGACCTCCATCTTACCTGACGGAAAGTAATGATGAGGTCGACGATGTAGCATCTCGCCTATGTAATGCCTATTCACTATCATCTTGAAGAGATCCAAGTTAAGTCAGTTAAGTCCACAGTCAGGGAATTCCACTCCCTAGCCGCTTGCCATGTAAATGCGGAAGCGACACGCTTCGTGCGAATCCGGGAATATCCACAACATAGGGATCTCAGGAAACCCCAGCCCACGTCTAGTCCCCCGATGGTGGAAAGGGGAAGGCGGAATCAAATCATGCAATTCCATCGCACACTCTTCGTGATGTATCTTGTAGAATACCGATGAACAGGCAAGTTTACGACAGACGGCTGTGCAGCTTCGCGTCTACTAAACCCGAGTCACCTATAAGCCTCCTGTCACGATTGTCGTCATCCCATAAGTGGCAGCAGTACTCTATACGCGATCAGATTTGTATTTGGTACAGCTGAAACAACTGTCCTGGTGTGAAGGATGCCAAGCTTCTTGACTGCATTTTTGGCCATGAATTCAATGTATCTGCCGAAGTTCAGATTGAATTACAGGGCCACTTCAAGTAGATGGAGACGGTCGGATATCGGTATGGATATATCACGAAAAGTCGAAGTCAGGTCAAAGGGACTCCGTTTTGTGGAGAATAGACACGTTTGCGTTTTGGTAGCGTCAAATTAGACAAGATTGGCGTCACCCCAATCGGAGTCACCGTTAAGTGTCAAATTCAAACAACTAACCATGGACTCCCGACAAGACTGGATTTCTTCTCCACTGACCCTTGCATTGGTCAAATACCTGTCCACAACTGTGCTATCAGCAGTATACCCAAAGGCAACTGGAATCAACATATCATTGATATACAGCAGAAAGAGAGTTGCGGACAGTACGGAAGGAACCCTGAGGAATTATATCGCCCGATGTTCGGAAGAGTAGCCTTCTAAGACCACTCGAATCGAACGTTCCCTCAAAAAATTCGAGATCCAATTGCAAAGGTCAGTGGAAAGCCCATAAGAGGAAAGCTTGTTTGGCAAAAGCTTTAGAAATGTCTAAAGACACTGCAATGGCTTATAGCCTCGCTCCAATTACAGGCACATTAGACTTAGACTTGTCAACTTATGTCTGTGGGTGACATAAAAGTTGCACTGCGACTGCTATGAACAGGTGTGTCGCTTAACACCAGGCGCACAACTTGTTCGTCCCGTCACTTAATATGAAAAAAATCTTGATTAATTGTATTATTAAAGTAATATACCAATATAGCATATATAATTTAAGAAATTAAAATTCTTACTACAAACATTATTGTGTTTACTAATTTTATATCACATTTTTGTTGATTGGGTTATATTTAAATCATTAGAAAAGGGCTTGGTTGCTTAAATAGCGATATTTATATTTATTTAAATAAAAATATAATAATATCTACTCTCTTAAAGAAACGAAAAAACACAATGAAACAAAACAAGAAGGATAATAATCTCAGTACAGAGTACTAAAAAAACCGACCTCAAAAGTACGTGGAATTACATCTATTTGCTAAGTTTCATTGAAATATCCCCTAGTTCACCACTATACAGGACTTGATACTGGAGATAATAAAAATAGGTTCTCACTACGACACTACTCAAAGTATATCGAGAGAAAAACGCCTTGAATTGGAGAAATAGCAAAATCAACTAAATAATTGCTAAAAGTAATGGCT